TTTCCTCACTGTGAAGTGCCTCTGAATAAGACACCTTGGACTGCTTTCCCATCACACATAACTTACAGAAATCTATCTTGCAACTCATCTTCCCGTCCAGAAGACCTCTCTTATAGATTTCTTTTAAACCATGCTCTCCAATTTGCCCTATATGCATATGTCAAAGATATGTCTTATCAGATTTAGACTCTGCAGCTACAGGTCCACTACAACCAAGCTTCCCATCTATTTGTATATGTTTTCAGCTGTAATCAGTCCCTTCATCACCGTCTCACCTCCTTTACTAACCTTCAACACCTCTTTATCTTCATCAGCACTAAATCTAAAACCGTTTCTATGAAGAGTCCCAATGGAGATCATATTCTTCTTGACCACTGGAACATGTCGTACATCAGCTAGCGTCCTGATTGTACCAATGTGCGAAACTTTACTTGACCAACACCCAAGATATTACAAACCTTGTCATTTGCTAACTGAACTGACCCAATCTTTCCAGCTTTGTACATCTCAAACCATTCCATGTTCGAGGTCATATGGAATGAAGCGCCTTAATCAAGAATCTGCGTTTTTTCCTGATGTTACAACAAGCATATCAGAATGAACGTTCTCTGAATCTTCTGTTTCCTGGACCACGTTTGCAGATTGTCTAGAGTATTGCAGATTTCTGCTCTCGTTCTGTCTCTTGTCGGTACAATCTCTTTTGTAGTGGCCTATTTTACCATAACCATAGCATATATCCTTACTCCCGACTTTTGGTTTTGACTTGCTTATGTTATTACCCCGTGACTGCTTCTCTTTATGTCTCACCTTATCTTGGTTTTAATTAACATACAATTCATCTCCCTGAGACCTCTGTGAAATGTTATTTTTGACGTCACTCGTGATGAGAAAGCAATGTAGCAATAACTGTCTCCAGATTTATCGTGTCCTTGTCACACGTCAGAGCTGTGAATATGTTCTTATATACATGGGGTAGATAATACAGTAGAATCATTGCTTTATCCTCGTACTCAATCTTCACATCCACACGCTGAAGATCACCAATGATTTGATTAAACAAGTTAACATGTTGTACAAGATTACCTCCA